ATCAGCAACAAGAGTTTGGTTGGTAATGTATTACCCACCAAGCCTTCTCCAACAAGGCTTTCAGCAAGCAAATCCATGTTGCTGAAGGGCTTTCAGCAACATGGGAACCACTTTCAGCAACATGTTTCCATGTTGCTGAAGCTAAGCATTTTAGTAGTGTATGCATAAAAAATTTCAACTATCATTCATATAGTATAATATATACAAATATATGAAGTACTTTTTTTTTTTATCAGCAAAATGAATTTATTAATATTGGAGCACAAGGGGTACTCCTGCCCATTACACATAAGAAACATCTGCTAGCATGATAGAATGACAAAAATAAAAGCATCCACCACTAGCTGCAGAGCAATTAGCATCTCAAAAAGCCCTATACATATTCAAGGCAACGACTTCATCATGCATATAACAACTGTACTTACTTTTGCCTCACAATGAGGAGAAAAGCCACGTACCTCTCTAGACTTTAAGCTGTACCCATTCCTTTCTGTTGTTTATGGAACAATTTCTGCATTTGTTTATATTTTCTAACTGATAGAGCACATTCAACTGGTTTTACCTTCCATTCATGGAATGAAAAGACACACCCATGAATCTTATTCTTAATCCAGAAAAATGATTTGGCTTGGACCATCTCCATTAATCTTCCTCTAATGTTATTTTCATTGTTAAACACCTCACCATTTCTCCAATACCATAAATACCATGCAGCCACAAGGAAGATACAAGCACCCATCTCCTTCCCTATTATCCTACCCAAATCGTTTACAAAGATGTCTGCCACACTTAGCACGTTATTAGGCATAACAGTCACCATGCCCCACCACTGTAGCACCTCTACCCAAAAAATCCATACTTCCTTGCACATACTAAACAAGTGATTAACTTCCTCCACCTTGTCCTTACACAAAACACATTTTAATTCCTCTTCCTGCAAAGGTACTCCTCGCTTCCTAATATTCCATTTAGTTGGAAGCCTATCAAGGCACAATCTCCACCCAAAGAAAGACACTTTAGAGGGTACTAATTTACACCAAATTAACTTACTCCACTGCTTGTCTAGAACACACTCTGTTGGGGTTAAAAATTTGTAAGCATTCTTCACCCCGTATCTGCCCTCCGAATCATGAGTCCACCTCCAACCATCTTCCACTCTCTTCTTTAATTGTATCCTCTCCAATCCTTCCTTTAATTTCTCCTCCTCATCCTTTTCTCTGCCTATTCTCTCTCTCCTCCATTCCATTTTCCAGCGCCATTTATCTCCCTCCCATACCCCCATATCACTAATCTTACACTCCTTGTTTGTAGACAATTCGTACAATCTTGGATATAAAACCCTTAAAGTTTTATTCCCTACCCATGGTTCACTCCAAAAGCTCACTCGATTCCCTTCCCCTACTTCCCACTTAAACCCCTCCACCAACATATTTCTAAGATTCATAGATCTCCCCCCTTATCTTAATAATATCCCTCCATATTTTAAACATCCACTGGTTCCCGAATGCTGTAATGTCCACCTCCTCCCACTTGCCCCCATAATATTTCTCCTTAACTATCCGTTTCCATAAGCTCTCTACACCATCCCCAAACCTAGACCACCACTTTCCTAAGAGAGCCCAATTTTTCCTACGTAAGTTTGACACCCCCAATCCCCCTTTTAGTTTACTACAGCATACATGTTCCCATTTCACCCAAGAAATCTTTTTTTTGTGACTCACCCCCTCCCCATAAAAAGGTTCTCTGTATACTAATCAATTCAACAAGCACAGAATTTGGAATTAAAAACAGTGACATATAAAAAATAGGTAAAGCAGAAAGTACCGAGTTGAGCAGAGTGAGGCGGCCACCAAAGGATAACGAAGCAGCTTTCCAGACAGCGAGTTTGGCTCGGAATTTATTTATCAGTGGCTCCCATAACTTCTTTCTCAAAGGATTTCCATCAACGGGCAATCCCAAATAAATGAAAGGAGATTTCCCAACACCACAACGTAGCATGCCAGCTAATCCTTCTACCCAACTTACTGGCACATTGTATCCATAAATGTTGCTCTTACTGAAATTAATTTGTAAACTAGACATCAGTTCGAACCATCACAGGATTGTTTTAACCATAAATACATTCTCTGTGTCAGCTTTTCCCATAATAATTGTGTCATCTGCGAATTGGAGAAAAGAACTCTCTAACCCCCTCATGCCAATTTCTACACCTCGAAACAGCCCCTCTGTCACTGCTTTTTGCACCAATCCATTTAATCCCTCCCCAATCATCAAGAATAAAAACGGAGATAACGGATCACCTTGTCGTAATCCTTTTTCAACCTTGAACTCCTCCATCGGGCTGCCATTAATTAGAACTGAAATTCTAGAAGTTGATAAGCATTCCATGATCCACCTTCTCCACTTGGTTCCGAAACCCATTCTATCCATCATCCATTCCAAGAATGACCAATTCACACAGTCATATGCATTCGCAAAATCAGCTTTAAAAACAAAAGCCTGCTGTTTCTTTCTCTTTACTTCCTCTACCACTTCATTCAACACCAAAACCCCATCAACTAACTAACGCCCTCCCAAAAAAGCAGATTGATTTTCACTAATAATCCCCGGCAACACAGATTTTAGTCTATTAGCCAACACCTTTGCTAACAGTTTATACACACATCCAATTATGCTAATGGGTCTATAATCCTTTAATTCCACAGAATTAGATTTCTTGGGGATTAAAGTTAGGAAAGATGAATTCAGCCCACTAACCAATTTACCATTCTGATTAAATTCAGAAAAAAAGCTCATAAAATCTTCCTTTAAATTATTCCATGCAAATTTAAGGAAGGTAAAGTTGTACCCGTCTGGGCCCGGAGCTTTTGAGCCTTCACAACTTCGTAATGCTTCCTCAATTTCTTCAGTGGAGAATGGTCGTTCAAGCCATTGATTTCCCTCTATGGAAATTTGCTTGAAATTAACCCCATACGGCTTTGGTCTACTCCGCTTATCTTCTTGAAATAGCTTGCTAAAATAATTCATCGCCTCCTTCTTAACCTGTGTTGGTTCTACCACCCAGCCTCCGTCACACATTAAGCTTGTGATATGATTTTGGGCCTTTCTACCATTTGCAACTCTATGAAAGAATCGCATGTTTGCATCTCCCACACGTACCCAATCGCATATTGACTTCTGTTTCCATATCACTTCTTTCTTCCTCATTATGTCCCACATTTTTTGAAATCCTTCTTGTCTCTGCAGAATTTCAAATTCCTCCAAATCAAGCTCCTCATTCTTCATATCAACCTGCTCAATTTGTTTAACAGCCTGTTCATATTGAGCTTCCATGTCTCCAAATACGTCTCGGTTCCATCCCTTTAAAAACTCTTTTAACCCCTTTAACTTCTGTTTGCATTTGTACCCTGCAAACCCATCTACCTCCATTGCTTTCCATTTCTCCTCGATTATCTTCTTGAAATCTGGATGGAGTAACCATGCATCCAAAACTCGGAATGGCTTTGGTCCCCAATCAGTTGTTCTTCATTTCAACACAATTGCACAATGATCTGAGATGTTCCGTTTCAAGCCCTGTTGCACTTGATTTCAAATATATGAAGTACTTAATATCTTAATTTTAACTTTATATAAAATTGTTGAAACAATAAAATTCTCTAAAAAAATTATTAAATAATTACTCATTAGAATTTAAACATCCCCAATAAATACACATTGAACTTTAAAAAATCGTCACTAAATACTAAATGAGTTTTAAAATTTTAAAATAAATATCCAATTGACTTTTTAAAAATAGATATTAAAGAGTAGTTTATATCTAACATATATAATATTACAATCTAATAATAAGCAAAAAAATACTAATATAGAGAGGTATTTAGAAATATATATATATATATACACACACACCCACAAACACATGAAAACAATATGAGAGAGTGAAGGTGAAACAATGCAAAGAAATAATAAAAGCCCAAAATAATGTAGAAAAATATCAGTTTAAGAAAGAGAAATGGTAAGAGATACATGTATTAAGTTAAATTTGAATTAAAATACATAACAATAACATAAGTATACGATGATGAAACAAACCAGAAAATTGAAAGTGCTTCAAAGATTAATGGAAAATGACTAGTACACCTTTTGATTCGACATAATTTTCGATATTTGCGTGGTTCAACTATTAAAATAGAATACAAATATAATTGATTATGTATGATTGCATCTTTAAGTTTATCTATTTTTAATTATAAACTAGAAAATAATGATTTTTTAATAAATGTGTTATATAGTGTATTAAACAAAACAATGTAACAATTAATATCCTAGAAAGATATATAATAGAACACTAATTGATACACCATCCAATTAAGTATATTATACAATATATTTATTAAAAAATTATTATTTTTTAATTTAAAATTAAAAACAAACAAATTTAAAGATATAACGATGCATACACGATGTTGGAACTGACTGAATTGGTTGTATTTATATAATATTTTAATAGCTGAATCGAGTGGTATTAAAAGGTGTATCAAATTAGAGGGTATATCAATAATTTTCTTATATAGTAACAAATTATGAAATTATTTTTTAGTTTTTAAAATTAAATTGATTAAATTTTTAAGCTTAAATGCTTTTCATCCCTACAATTTAAACCTTTTTTTTAATTAATGCATTTACAACTACTAATTATGAAAAAAATACTCTAAAATATATTTATAGCTAATTATTATTATAAAAACTTATAATTATTAAAAATCTTTAAAAAAATAGTTTGCGCAAAAGACAACTTAAGGTCTAGTTAAGCATAAAAGTTTGAAGTAAATAACTAGTTAACTTGAGATGTAGTAGGATACAAATACTCACCTACACCTAATCTTCATGATTCACACCCTTTAATTTTACTATACACCTAACTAAAACTATTCGGAAAATTATTAGTTACACTCTTATTTAATACACTTTTCAATACTTATTTGGTTTGATCATTAAAATATAATATACGTTTAAATAATTAAATTGATTCTTATATCTTATATGTGTAATTTTATTTTTAAATTTATGTATTTTTAATTTTAAATTAAAAAATAATAATTTTTTTATAAATATATTACGTAGTGTATTGAATTAGAAGGTTTATTAATCTTTGTCTAAACTACTCACTCTCCCGGCCGACGCAAACACATGGAACTAGCTAGTTTACACCTTACACACGCTATTGCCTTATACCACCATTATTGGCTTGCAGATCGAGATGATCTTGAAAGGAAGCGATTTGCAAATGCCATGCTTAACGCTATTTACAAAGGGAAGTTTTGGGAAGTAAGCGACTTATTTAAAAGCAACCCAGATGCAATATCTACAAGATTTGAAAATGGAAAAAGTGCTCTTCACGTTGCAATTACTGCTGGTCAGCTAAGGGTTGCTAAAGAATTGATCACTATTACTGCTACTGAAGCAAACAGTCACCAATTGAAGATAAAAGATGAGAGTGGCAACACAGCTCTTTCCTTTGCTGCTTGTAGTGGAATGATGGAAATTGCAAAATGCTTGATTGAAAAGAACAAGGACTTGCTTAATATCCCAGATGGCCACGATAGGCTCCCGGTTCAATTGGCTTGCAGGGCAGGCCATGAGGACATGACTCGCTACCTCTACCGCAATACCCCGAGCGAACGTCTAAGGGGAGACAATGGCTTCTACCTCCTCAAAGAGTGTATAACTAAGAAAATGTTTGGTGAGAGCTCTAACATTCATCTTCTCTCTTTATATAATTTTGCTATTTCGTTTTCCTCTAATAAATATACTTAATTTGACATGTATCAGATATTGCACTCCATCTCCTCCACCGCTTTCCAGAGTTTGCAATATATAAAATCTTTATGGAAGATACCAATTCGATCATTTTAACTCTTGCTCAAACACAACTACCATTCTTTAGAGGAAATCAGCTATCATTTTGGAGACGATGGATATATAATTGTTAGTATCATTTATCTTTATCTCTTTAATTTTTAACATAATGTCTCTTTTAATATATTCTTCGGCTAAAAAATAGAGTATTTTGGGATGTTGTGCATGCCATCTTTCTTTGTTTTCCAATATGCTTTTCTGAATTTTTTAGTGTATTAAATGCTATTTTTTTTATTGTAATTGGAACTGAAGGTACAAGAGTGAAAGTGGATAAAGGAAGTGTTCTATCTGATAGTGTTGGCAGTGTTGGCAGTGTTGCACCTCGACGAAAAGGTATAGTAGTTAATGAGTTTTCTTTCCTTTTTCTCACTAATAACTTCTGTAGAGATTGTTGGCTAAATAGAAAGACAATCATTTGTTATACCAATGAAATAACTTTTTTTTTAAAAAAAAAAATTCTGAATATAACACATTAATGACAGAGAGTCTGGTTTCAATATCCGAATTTCTTGGAAAGCAATAATGTCTATTAAATGAGTCTTTTTTCTTTTTCCCTTTTTTTTTTCTCCTTTTCCTAATTAGCTTTTGTTATTAATTCTCTTTTTTTTTTCGGCCTTTTCTTCTTAATTCTTATTAGTAGAATTGAAGCAAAATATTTTTTTTTTCAACAGCAACGAAGATATATGATTTAAAGTTGATGGATGCAATTGCCCGTGAGATTGTGCATTTTATATGTCGAAGATTATCAGCTTTGGATGAGGATGAATTTGTGCAAAGTGGAGCAGTGGAAGCAACCTTTCAAGCTATCAAGAATGGCATCCCTGAGATTGCAATAGAAATTGCAAAAGTTAATACAAATATATTATGGAACGGTACTGATCCTGAAGATTCAAGGAACATGTTTGCATGTGCCATAGCACATCGTCAAGAGGAAGTGGCACAATTTCTTTATGAATTTAATGCAAGAATTAGTACAAATATAGTTTTTACCGACGATCGAGATGGAAATAATTTATTACATTTAGCAGCAAAGTTAGCTCATCGTTCTCACCTTGATTACATTTCAGGTGCAGCTTTGCAGTTGCAAAGTGAGCTACGCTGGTTCCAGGTAAGCATCTCATACTTTTATATGTTCTGTCAATTAATAAATTTTACATTTGGATGTCACATGTGGCTCCATTAATTCTGTATAGTAATAATGAGTTTCTCACTAAACATCTAGAATAATATTTTGAAATTAATGTAGGCAGTGGAAGGCATTGTTCCACAGTTCTACAACCATCAAAAAAATCATGATGGTGAAACTCCTTCCGAAGTGTTTGTTCAGGAACACAAGCAGTTGCTAAAAGACGCGGAAGAATGGATGCAGAAAACTGCAGAATCCTCTACATTCGTAGGTGCTCTAATCATTACAATTATGTTTGCTGTGGCTTTTACTGTTCCTGGTGGGAATGATCAAAATACAGGCTTCCCAATATTTTTGAACAAAACAGCAGTCTCTTCTACAGTACCTTCTCCAACCGTGCCGTTCATGGTATTTGTAGTATCAGATGCAATTTCTCTTTTTGCTGCATCTAGTTCGGTGCTAATGTTTTTGGGGATTCTTACTTCACGTTATGGTTATGACGATTTCCTTAAATCCTTGCCCGTGAAGTTGATTGTTGGCATTTCTTCACTCTTCATCTCTATTGCAGCAATGATGGTAGCATTTTGTGTTGCTCTTTTCATTATGCTACAAGGTCGATTGTGGATAATCATACCAGTAACTTTGTTTGCTGGTGTTCCAGTCATTATCTTTGTACTGTTGCAGTTTCCTTTTCTCAAAGAGCTTTGTACTTCGACATTTAGACCAGGCATCTTTGATAGGAAAAGAACAACAGCTGAGGAAAAGGAAGAGATTAAAGGAATTATCCTATCACTCCAACAACCGGTTCTGGCTATCTAAACTTGATCCACGACTCAGGGATGTTATAACTCAAAGATTGATGTTCTGTCATTTTAAGTCTAGTAAGTAGACGAGTGTGTGCTCTATATGTATTGTAACTGCAAGAAACATTTGGTGGATGTGTGTTCGTTGAAGATTTCATGTACTTTTATAAGTGCTAAACTCTCTCAGCTATCAAAGATTTATGTGAATGTTTCATATAGAGTGCTCCAAATATCCTATCATAATATGTGAGACAGTTAGAGCAGAGAATTACTAGATGGCATTTGTGCAACCCGAGGACATGAACCATGTCATGTTGCAGGACTTGGTTCTTGGAGCCCCTTTAGGTTTTTATGCTCAGCTTTCTCCCAACGCTTTAAAATCTTTCCTAAGCCCTGAACACATAAAGGACGACTCAAAGCATCAAAAAGTAAATTTATACACACACACATGTATATTTGAAATATATATTTTGCAGTCCATATTAACTTCGCGCTAAACTTTCATCATTTTTTTTTTCAAAACAACCAGAGGTTAAGCATTTTGTATCTTGGCATGAAAATGGAAAGATATTTAGACAGGAAATAAACCATTTCCTCTTGGTTTCTTTCCTCTCAGTCTCTCTCTTATTCTCTCTTTTTTTCTTCTTTTCTATCATTTGAATGAATTTTTTTTATCATGGTGTTTTTGATCAGCTTTTACACACCTAAAAATTTTAATAATGCATCTTAAATGAATAATTGAAGTTTTATGTAAATGTGATATATGTATAAAACTTATGTGTAAGTAAATTTTTATTATATTATATATTTAAATTTAATAAATAAATATATAATATAATTTTTAATTTTAAATTAAATTCTCATGAATAACTCATGAATAATCATAGAAGTTCAAGCTCAAACTTGTTCTTTTATCTAAGCTCAAGCTTGATTTGTTTGTCAAATTAGTCAAGCTCGAATTGAGATTAACTCAAGTAACTCATATATTACTTACAAACTTCGTGTTAACAGCCATATTCATGACCCTGAAAAGGTAAATCAAAAGTTATCTTTCATTATCATCTTCTATTACCTATTGTCAACCTTCAACGTTCTCAATTACTGAAATTTCTCCACTAATTTGCTTGGCTCATTAGCATTTCTCCCTTACTGTTGATTGAGATTCAATAAAGAACGGGTCACAACGAAGTAAAATTTTAAGAATCTCACGGTCCTAATATGATTAATC